GTCCAGGATTTTTTCTACTATATTCTATCAGACTCAACCAAGCGTAACATTCTACACTGGCAGCTTTCACTCCTAGTTGCACATTAGAATTATCCAGTGCTTTAAAGTGCCAAGGATTACACCTCACTTCAGACCAATTAAACTAGAATCTGTTGGGGAGGGGCTTTGGTATTGGTATCTTTTTAAAAAAATTTTTTTTCACATAAAGCCATGGGTTTTTGAGTTATTTTTCACAGGATTAATTGCTTTGGCCAGATGCCTGGGCATATGGGCATGGACCCAGCTTCCTCTGTGAGCTTTGGTTATTCCCTTCTCCTGTTGGAGCTAATTCACCATATGGTATTGGGTATGACATGTCACCTCTTGGGGTATCCTTTTCATCATCTGTCAAGTAAGGGTGTTGTCAAAGGGATCTATACAGTCCCTTTCAACTCTTCTACTCAGAAACAGTCTGGGTGTAGTGTAGGTTGAAGTGAGGGGACTGAATGGAGAGGATAGAAACTTACTACTCACTGCACAATCATTGATCTATGCAGGCATTTTTGTGCATTCCTGATAGCCAGCTCCTACAGTAGAGCCAATGAAATCTCAGCTTTAGACATTACTCTTGACATTTCAAGCAAATGTAGCTAAACTTTTTTGATTAACTAGAGAATAGATAGCAGGTGTCAGGAATTGTACAGCCGGTGCCTGGTGTAAGAGAAGCCAAAAACTCTCAGAGAGTGTGATGGGGGAATGAAAGCCGCCACTTACATTCTCTGATTGCAGACCCTAAAGTAAGCCAGCATATGCTCAAGCCCATTATGTGCAAGGAGATATTTGTTTCATATGTTCGACTGTTCTGAGATGCAAACAAAATAGAATAGAAAGCTTCACAAGCCTTCCTCCCACACTAACCAGTTGTCTACCCAACATGGTCCCGGGCCTCTGGGGCTGTCAGCAGCCAGCCCTGAACGGGCTGCCTTAGGAGGCTCAGAGTCTCCTCCACATGGTCTGGAAAAAGCAGACAAGAAGAAAGCTGATCTTTCAGCCTTGCATAACCTGGATGTCGCCATTGCAGGGAAGTCCGCTTTGGGAGCCAACGCTAACTCCTAACCCCTGTTTTTCGGGAAGCAGCATGATAGAGTAATCATAATTAATGTTTGCCCAGGGCTGGACAGTTAACAAAGTACTTTCCGACCTTTCTTTACTCTGCAGCAGCACTAGTGGGAAGTCATTTTTATCACCAAATGGAAAAAGAAACCAAAACCTTACGTGACTTCCCCAGGATGGGTCAGATAAATGAAGCCAAAGCCTGGACTTGAACCTAGTTCTTCTGACCTAGGACCAAGCACTCTCCCCTCCCCAGGCAGCACTGAACCAGACCTCCCTCCCCTGCTAAGCTAGTACATTTTCTCCCTTGAAAGTGGGGTGGCCTGGGTCCTGCAAGTGAGATTTCTAGACTCAGCTTTCCTACGAGTTCACTGGAGGCTTGGATTTGCGCCTTCCCTTCTCTCTGCCTCTGAGGCCCTTCCTCCAATGGAGTGGTTTAAAAAAATATTGACCCTGGCGATTGGATTAAAACATTTTGTTTCTTCAGTTGCATCTCACATGTTGCTATTGTAGGGGCCTTGGGAAAAATTTAAATAACTTTATTGTTTTCTTTTTATTGAAACAATAATACAAGTCCTTCTAAGCAGATTTTAACATTTTGTATACACAAAAATAAAATCAAAAGCACTCATATTCTTACTTCAGTGATAACCATGATTAATACCCTGCTGTTATCCCTCTAGGTCCTTTTGTACTTACCTATTTACCTTTCATGTAAATACTGTGTAAGAAAGCTAGATAACATATGTATATAGTTATCTTGTGTTTACACACTCAACAATTCATGTATATGCATATATGCATCTGTACTCTTGGTACAGGGGGGTTGGGGAGAAAACAGTTTCCTGATTAGCAAAGATGTAATCCTAAAACACTTGTATGATTTCCCAGCATTGACTTTTTAGGCTATATAAGACTGTGATTCCCCTTTCATTCATTCATCCATTCATCCATCTGGTCATTCAGTTTTCATTTATTATATGTCAGGCTCTACTATATATATATATATCTATATACATATATATATAATTTTGAATGCTCATGTGAGTCTTATAATTAGAGATTATAATCTCCGTTTCACATAGGAGAAAGCTGGAGCTCAGAGAAACTAATTACCCAGGATTTCATGGCCAGTGCGTGGAAAATTGGGGTTTGAACCCAAATATATCTAACCTCAGGGGCTGTGCCTCTAAAGCTGTGCAGTTTGATACATGCTTTAATGGAAGCATGTATTACGAGGAGCTGTGGAGTGGAGGATTCTCCATGGCCTGGGAATCTTTGAGCTGGATAGTGGAGGAAAAATAAGATAATCAGACGAGGAATGATTGGCATGTGCAATGGGACCAAGGCATGGATGGGCATGGCGTGCTGCCAGAATGACATGCCAGAGCATGGCTGGCACTAAGATGAAGCTAGACAGGCAGATCAGCACTAGATCAAAAAGGGCTCATCAGCCATCTCGGGAGCAGATGTTTTACCCTGCAGGCAGCGTGGAGCAGCAGGTCACATCTGTGTTTTAGAAAATCGACTTTGGTGGAATATTGCTGAATGGTTATAAGTGGGGGCAGGGAGATCACTGAGGCGCAATAACATTAGTCCATATTAGAATGTTTAAATTAATTGACCATGTGAAGGAGAATAAATAGGACCTGCAGGAGAGGTTGATGAGCCAGGTTTGGGATATTTGAGTTCAAAGTCCATGGGTCTTGCTGCAGGAGAAAGGAGGTCAATCTATTAGATCCCTGGTGTGGTATCTATTGACCATTAGGGCTTTGACCAGCCTTGAACTTTCTGCCTCTTTATTGCATCAGCCACTTTAGGCATGTTCTGTAAGTTTTACTGAGTTTTGCTGACCCCTTATGCAACTCTTTTAACAGTCCATTATCTTTGGTTCCTACAGCTAGAAATAAATGATAGGATTTTGATCCTTTTAAAAGAACATGTACCAAGAGGGAAAAAACTTGGTTTACTCATTCTTTTTTTAAAAAAAGATTTTATTTATTTATTTTTAGAGGGGGTGAGGGAAGGGAGGGAGAAAGAGAGGGAGAGAAACATTGATCTGTTGTTTCTCATGCACATCCCAATGGGGACCGAACCCAAAACCCGGGCATGTGTCCTGACGGGGAATCAAACTGGCGACCTTTCATTTGGCAGGTTGATGCTCAACCAACTGAGCCACACAGGTCGGGGCTACTTGTTCTTTCTTAATTCAAAAAGGTTAAATTTAAAAAACCTCAAGTACCCTCTGCTGGGCAAGACAGTGGTAAAGGCCTGAGAAGGATGGTTCTGGGCTAAGGTGCCCTGGAATCAACATTGTGCCTGGGAGCTCAGAGGAAAAGCCACAGTTGGGTCTTTCCCCTTCTTCCATGACCCATGGGCATCTTTCAGGGCAAAAGGGCCAACCTTAACTCTTTGAGGCAAGGGAAAATAGAAAACAAAACTTAAACTGCTCACAGGGTAGATCATACATTTTAGGAGAACTGACAATTCTTTCATCTGGTTTTTTTTTCTCTTCCTATTACTAATACTGTTAAATTGGACAGGCAGAGAAGAATAAGAAAAAAAAAATGACAGGGACTTTGCTGGCACTGCCAACTTTTTCAAGACAAAAGGTTTTGTGTCTCAGTGAAATCCTGGCAAAGACTGGTGTCTCAGGAGACTATGTGGAGATGGTGGCCAAATTCATCTTCATTATCAAGTTTTATTTCCCAGCCAACACATGATAAGAGTGAAAGAGGGTGCTATTAATTATTATATCAGGTCAATAGGTATAATCCAAGGATGTCCTAGGTGAGTCAGACAGTCTAGGCAAATTGTCCCAAAAGAACTTTCCACAATGTTAAAAATACACTAGATGTGTGCAGTCCAATGTGCAACTGAAAGCCACATGTGGCTTTTGAGAATTTGAGATGTGGCTAATGAAACTGAGATGAATGTATAGCTTCCTTTCATTTTTCTTCATCTAAATTTAAGTTTAAATAGTTCCATGTGTCTAGTGGCTAGTGTATTAGACAGTAGAGCTCTTCAGTCCTATTATTCATATGAAAAGACCCAAACCCTGGATGACAGCAGCTAAGTCCCCAGACATAGGACTTGCTGAGAGAGGTCCTCAATAAGAATTCGCTAAACAACTAAAAACAACTAAGTCACTGTGATCTGTCTCCTCAATGACAGGAATTCAGACCGTTTCTCAGAAACTTCCAGGAACTTCGAGAAACATAGTTTTGCTGGGGAGAGCCAAGAGCCCAGTGACATTTCCCATCAAATGTTTAAGCCTAACCCTGGTCATGAGTGTATGACATGTGGCACTAGGACCAGTAGTTGTACAGATCTTTTGCTACCCATTCCCAGGACTTCCCTGGTAGTGTCCTGAAAGCCAGCAGAGTTTCTGTCTGGTCAGAAAAGACCTCTCTCATTGGAAAAAAAAAAAACACCTTTTTTTTTTTTTGCATACCTTGATGAATTTTGTTAAATTTGTTTAAGGTACTGCAGATTCCATCATTGAGTATAAATCTCACCCCAATATTACTATGTCACTATTATTTATGTTTTAGAAAATGCAAGAGTTTCTGATTCCTAAATGAAGCTGAGTTGAAGAAATGATAACTCTTACTTAATTATGAACATTACATTTTCAACAGAAAAAATGATGGTGTCAGAATCCCAAATGTGGTACTTGTTGGGAAACTTTAGTGCTATTATCAAATCTTCGAAAGAGCACAAGTGGAGGAAACCTTAGAAATCACTGAGTTACCACCTTCCTGTATCTTAGACTGGGTAAGCGAGGCCTGCAGGAGAGAAGTATGACAGAAGGTCAGTGGTGGAAAAGGCTGAGAACGTGGTCTCTGGGCTGCTGATTTAGTTAAATGGTGAGGTCGCTGTGCCCATGAATGTAAGCAGATCCCTTTATGTCTTTCAGGTGGCTCCTTTTTTATCATGCTCTGTGCTTCTCCTTGTTGAAGGCTTTGGCCCACACTGTGGAACTTAACAATATGTTTGGCCAGATCCAGTCACCTGGCTATCCAGACTCCTACCCGAGTGATTCAAAAGTGACTTGGAATATCACTGTCCCAGAGGGATTTCGGATCAAGCTTTACTTCATGCATTTCAACTTGGAATCTTCCTACCTTTGTGAATACGACTATGTGAAGGTAAGTCCCCTGATGTTCCCTGACTGGACCAAGATCTCTACTGGAGAATCTGCTGGGAGTTAGGGAAGCCTAGATGAATCAGATGTTGTGTTCATCCTCCCATGGAGGAGCCCAGTGAGGAAGATATACAAGGTTACAGGTTATGAATGAAGGTGTCTGTGGCACGCTAGGTGCAGGCTGAGTACATAAACCTAGAAAGGGAAACTGAGACTGGCAAAGTGTAACTCAGCCAAACTCAGCTTCCTCTTTTTATTTCTGTTCTCAAAGTCTTTTATGTTTTCACTAATCTCTGCTCCAAGGACACTTGTAATTCAAATAAAGCAGAAAAAGGCAGAGGCCCCAGAGTAAACATTAATCAGGCTAAAACATATCCATGATTATGTCCAAATCTGAGGCATTAGAAAGCATTGCCCAATTCTCTAAGTAATGACCAAAGTGTTTGGGAAGTGTAGGGTATTTACTAATAGACAGTAGGAGGTGAGATTGGAAAGTTGGATTGGGGAGAGATTCTGAAGGATCCTGAATGTGATGCTAAAGAGTTTGTATTTTATCAGCTAAGGGTACAGGCAAGGGTAGAGGGCCACTATCAGAAGCAAATGTAAAAACAACAACAACAACAACAACAACAACAACAAACATACATGGAAGAGGGACAGAAAATAATCAATACAATAGTCCCTGGAATTTAGAGAAAACCCAGAAACAGGGCCATGGGTGGGAAGCTATTCTTTAATAGTAGTGCTAAGAAAGGTCAGAGTTCTTCTTTTTTTAAATTTAAATGAAAAAAATATATGGTTGAAGTACTTTTGAGAGATCAAATTTATTAAGGTTGTATCTGATTAAAAAAAATGAGTACCTACTTTCTAAACTTTCTCTGACTTTCTGGAAGAAGTTCTCATCAAACCACACCAGAGTAGACTTTGCATATAGTTATTGGAGTCTCATTTTTCCACAGCCAGTAATTCAACAAGAGTTAACCTTGTATTAACCAGGATATTTGATCAACAACAAAGTTGTGGTTTTACAAGGTGCTTTTATACTTACAATCTTATTCAACCTTTAAAACAACCGTGTGAGACAGGTACTACTATCTCATTTAACAGGCCAAGAAACAAACCCAAAAAGGTGAAACAATTCACCCAAGATTGTATACCTAGTCAGTGGTGAATCATGGTCTAAATCCATGTCTTGTGACTGTCAAGTCCATGCTTTGTTGGCTTCAGGAGCTGTGCTCCACTGAGTCCCAGGAGACTGCAGGGACTCACAAGGGCCACTAGAGGCAGGGCAGGCCTGGCAAGTGGGGCTGTGAACTCTTACCCTGCTTAAACTCATTTTAATTGCTGGATGTTGCTTATTATTTATGTTGGATCTGCATCAAAAATCTTGCTTGCAAGGAGGTTTCTGTGACTTAAAAACCTTCCAAAATTGGTACTCCATAGCAAAGTTTCTCAGTGTCAGTGCTGTTGACCTTTTGAGCCAGACAATTCTTTGCTGAGGAAAGCGGTTTTGAGAATTATAGGGTTTTTAACAACATTCCTGGCTTCTACACACTAGATACCCATAGCACTGCCTCCTCCAGTTATAACAACCGAAAATGTCTCCAGACATTGCCAATATTCCCAGAGAGGCAGAATCTCCCCATCTGAGAGCCACTGCTCTATGGGATCCTGCCCCTCTTTGAATGTTCTATGCTGGGGACTCTCAGAATTTAGAGGTACAAAAGATCTGGTCCCTTACAAAGAGAGATGAGCCCAGAAAAACAGCCATTGCACAAGATGGAAAAGAGTAATGACACTCAAAGACTGAAAAACTGAGCCAACCTCTTGTGTCACAAGGACCAGGCAGGGGCTATTCCCCAAGACCCTAAGGTTCATCATACTAAATTGAAATTTCTGACAAACAAGTCAGTTATGTCTTTCAGGATATAATAGAGCCTCTGCCAAAACCAAAGTCCAGGAGAAGAAGGATCATGGGGGCGGGGGGACATTAGGGTAGCAGAATCCCACAGCCCATTTCCCCAACTAACGCTGGTCATAAAACCAAGGCATTCTTGAATATTTGGTTGGAAAGGATACTTAACTAGCAAGAAAATGACCAAGCATTGGCTTAATAAGACAGTACATTCCATAAATTTAGATAAGGCTACATGTGAACATCCTAAATGCTTTTTTCCCCTCTACTTTCAAACATGTCAACCATCTAGAAATTGTGTCAGTGAAAACACTTGTTTTTATTGGTAGCTGAAGCCTCATGACCACAAAAATTACACAATTTTTTTCTTTAGCTGTAACTACAGCTTATTTTTATTATTCCTCCTTCTCCATCCCTAGAACTGATTCTTGTCTCATATGCACCAAGCAATCATCTCTCACAAGTTTTCCTCTTATTCAGACAGATGCTAGGTTTGACCTTGTTAGGACTCCTTTATCAAGATGATAAACACACAATAGAGGATTTAACTTATTCCTTTGCCCTAAATAAATTCAGTCCCTTGGCAAAGCAGGTTAAGGAGCTGACATCAGCTGCATTTCATAGTGGAAAAAATGACAAGGTACTTTTCAAGGGCAGCAATAGAATCTGAAGAACTTTTCTGACACTGCATTAAGGACACTGGAGTACATTTTTACCCAAAGCTTGATCTTTCTGTCTGGAGACTATTTTGGAAATTGATTGACGGTTTCTATCCAAGGTGAAAAACCTTCATGAAAGCCCAAGGAGATGGAACTAGACCTTCCAAATAGGCAGCATGATCTTGGGCTCTTGCCTGGGTTTCAGAAAATGCCTGTTCTGGTCCCATTAATTCCCCAATGATTAGGAGTGGACAAGAAAAGCTTGTATAACTTTCTCTACTCCAGAATAAGACTTGTAACCAAAAAAAGCAGTCAGCAATGCAGTGACTGAGTTGCCTACCTAAAGTGCCCTACAGTCCTTGTCTCTCTGATGCAGACACATTTTTTCCAAAATCTTTGGAGGAAGGGATTAACATACTGGGCTGGGAGGGCAAGATGCATTTCTCCACTCGTGCTTGCCCAGCTGACTGCCTCTAGATGCCGTCCCAGCATCAGCATTAGCCTCCCTGCGGGGGCTCCAACAGCCATGGGGCCAGAGCAGGACACTGTACACTAGTCACCTGAGAAGTTGCGCCCTTGGCCCTGTGCCCTTGGCCACACATGCCCCAGGCCCAGCAGAGCCTCCCTTTGGGAGTCAAGAACTCACAGAATGTCAGGCTGCTGGGGTCCTCTGGAGACTCATCTAGTGCCACGTTGTTGCTTGTTATTGTTGTTTTTCAAATATTATTTCCCCAGGGGCTCTGAAGCTCAGTCTGCTTGCTCATCCTCCTCGGTCACCCTGAAGGCCACACCTTTCAGGAATCACAGGTTGACTATTGCTTAAGCTCCTGTTGGACAGAAAAGGAGACTGAAACTCAGAACTTAAGAATAAGACTAATACTCTGGCTTCTGAACTCCCCAACCCAGAAGCCTTCCATGTATGGTTGAAACCTGTTCACTTTTTCTAATTTCCCCCCACCCTTCACCCCCAGAATATGTGGTTTTCCCACTACAAATGAGAGGAAAACTCTTCCCTTTCCACCTGCATTAAGTATGAGCATGCCACGCCCTGCCTGGGTAAGTCAACACTTCTCCAAATTCTGTGTTTTGCTCCGTTCCATGCAGCAGGGGATGGGAGTGGGAGTGGGGAGGGGGTGGGCAAGATGGGATGATCCTTAAAGTCCCTTAAATTCCAGAATTCTAATCCTAATCCTCCTTACCAGAATTTTCTAGGTGACCCCACCAAACCCTCATTCTCCTAAGATAATGCCAGAAACCAGTAATAGTATGTGACAACAGCCACTTCTCAAAGTTCCACGGCCGTAAGCACTCCAACAGGAGCTTACATTCTGGTGGGCGTGCCTTAGTGACATGCCATTTAAAGAAAACATGTAAGCACATTATGCCACTGCTGTCCTTTTCCAAGCAGTTTTACATATCACTGATTTCCATTTGATGGGATAATATCCCATTTTGAGGCTTTATCATTCTGTGACTTAATTCTGTTGGCGGCTTGAAAGTGGGTTCAAAGAACCCTCCAGTTCACAGGAACCCAGTCTAGCCCAAACCCACAGACCATTCTTCCCACCCTGGCCCATCAGGGTGATGATGACAGCACTGCTGACACTGCAGAGCAGTAGCTTAAAGAAGTGCAGGACCCCAGGGCTACGGCCCTCATGCTCTCATTTTATGAAAATTCCTTTCTGCGGCCTGACTTCCCACAGGTCTTGATCTTAAAGGTGCATGCACATCTGCATGACAACATCTGCTTCCTTGGCCTGCATCTACCATGTGTGGATTCCTGCAGCGCATGGATGAGGCATATAAACCACAGCTGGTTGATGCTGCAGGCAAGGCAGAGGAAGCACAGTGGCTGGCCCGGGACTCAGTAGGCCTGGATTCTTGTGGCCCTTCTCTACTAACTGGGTAAACTGTGGGCAAGTGACTACTTCTAGAGAGGACTCTGTTACCTCCTCTCTCAAACACAGGGAGTTGGACAAGATAGTTTCTAAGGCCAATCTAGCCCTCACATATACGCATCTAAGACCACAAAAATCATAGTTCCACTCAATCATCATTATGATCAAAGCCTAGGGTAGCGTAACTCATTGGCCAAGGCCACGCTGGGACCAAAATTGATAGTTCAAGATTCTCAGCCTTTTTCTTATTTTAAAAAAATTAAATGACAGTGGAGTCCCATTTTGTGAATGTTTGGGTTTTTTAAGTGTAATGTAATGTAAGTATAATGGAAGGCAAATATTGTCTATAGTCAAATTTACTCAGTCTCTTAAGTACAGTAGAACACTGTGTTTTAATATATCCAGAAATGGATATATTTTCTCAGACATGCAACAAATTACAGTTCCTTTGGTTGAGCATCAAATGAAGTGGTCAGCTTATGCTTAGACAGGAGCCCTGGAGCTGTAGTTACTGAGATGCATACTTAGAAAC